GGGGATTCCGGACCCCACAAATGAAACTATCAATAGGTAAACGGAAATTCATTGAAATTATTACTAGCTCAAATAAAATTGTGAATTAATTAATTTACATAACAGTACATTGCTTATGCAACCTGCTTCTCGCTGAAAAAATTGAGTGGATAACGCAATAAGCCAGTTCTCTAATTGGAAAACATCAAGGTGTAAACTCCGTCGAAAAGGCGTTTGTTTCTTCCAGTGTGCTGTTACTTTTTTTTTTTTTGGTTTTTTGGGGGGGGGGGGGGGATTCTTCTGTTGTCATTCACCGCATGAAAGGAGCCAGCCCCCTTATCTCAGATCCATTTCCATTGGACAGGAAATACATCTTTTTCCAATTTTCCTCGGAGAATGCTTCACGACGTATTAATCTTTGCCTGTCAGAAATGAAAAGGCAACACATTAAGAATACCGCTGAAACACGACTATCAAACTATAATAGTTGGTTGCAGTCAATTGTTAAGTTATTTCCGCAGAGATAAAATCTGTTACTGAAAACAAGCCATGTAGGCAGGCTATTATTGCCCTAACAATAGCCAACAGATGATTCAACAAATTCAGCAATAGCAGATTCATGTTGAACAAAAAAAAAAAAGTGACTTGAATTAAGTAAATAATGGTTTAGTGACAAGTTATATTTAGCTAGAGGACAACACGAAAGACAGATCCACAAGGACATTCAGCCACTCAACATGCAGGAAAAAGCATTCGATTTTGGTGGGTCTATATTGATGATTGGATGTAATAGACTGGATATGGAAAACGCCCAATCATAGCAAGATACTTTCAGAATAAGAAAACTAAAATTGAATTAGGGATATTTGTGAACAAACCTCAAATAATAATGGCAAACGGTCTCCGCTTCATTTAAACTGTAACGAGGAAACATAACACGAGCATCTGCTGGAACATCTGGCAAATCTTTACGAAGCTTACCTACTGCTGTTGAATGAGAAAAAGCTCCTACCATCATATCATTATGCATCATTGACCTAAAAGCCTTCACCTGCAACAGTGATGCGGAAGCATCTAATCTTTTGCCCAAAAGCCGAACTGCTGGCCCAAGTAATAGCAAGAAAGACACTAAAACATAGTAACACTAGGCTCTTTATGTTATCCCAGTACAACGGATGACCAACATTCCCAAGGAAGCGATTTACAACAATTTATTTTCATAAGGAAAATATATATTTAATAAAAGAAATTGCCAAGTATTACTAACATTATTCTACATTAAAATGTACCCACCATTGTAAGCTCTCTGGCATGTATTGGACGACAAGAATGAAGTGATACCGGCTCCTCATACGCACTGAATGTAAACCAGTTATTATACTGAAGAAAGGTGTCCACAGCAATAAGTAAGATGATCAAAATATTGCAGAAACAAATTTTGAAGAACTAAGCACCACTTTAACATCAGTTAAGTGGAATCTCTGTCTTACTTGATCAATTGCAATAAGTACAGGCATATCTTTGACAAGTGATAGCTCTTTCCTCAACCGAACCACCACTCCAACAGCAGCATGTGTTTGCTCAATTCCAGTCTTTACCAGCTCGTACAAATTTGTACCCTCAGGAATTGCCAGGGAATCCACATCTTTTAACCATCCAACACCAGCACCCTCACCCAGTGGGATTGGATCAAAGATTTGGCATGGTAGCTGCTTCAAGTGGGATTCATTGTACTTCATAAAATCCTGAGAAGAAATGGCCCATCAGATCCAAAATAACGTTCAAATGACTGCATTCATTAACTAGATGATATCAGATTTAATCATAATGGCCACAATATGCATGCAGTACTATCAACATCCAAAGAAAGAAGGGGGGAAATCCCCTTGGGATTGAAAACTATGGCCCATCAATTCATCTTATTTCTACTTGAAATGATATCGTGGATGAATCTCTTCTGGCTTGAATAGTCATAGCTAATATATTTTACTATCAGTTTAATAGCTCTAGTTCAATCTCAATGATCTTCAGGTCAAACCAAGTAAAAAAAATCTCAATACGCTGAATCCATAAGGCAATACATTTTGCTGTATTTGAGTAATACCATAAAAAGAGTAATCTTTAGATAATGAGTATTGAGTTTACTGTTTAGTAAGACCTTTCATCGTCCACCTAGTCATACAGGCAATAAAATAAGTGCCTTTCAAACTGTTATGTTGGGTGATTCTCACTCATAACAAACACATACAAGCAAAGTAAAATGGAAATGAAATTATAATTCTTGCCTTAAGAACATGTTCGGCCTGGACAGGTGTGTCCCAGAGACCAGTTCCTGGATGCTTATAAAAAAACCCTCCGTGAGTCCATTCCTGACCTCTGGGAACATAAAATACAAGCCAACCTTCTTCTCGAGCCCACTGAACAAGCATGGCAAGTGCAATGCTCTTGCCACAGCTAAGAGGACCATCTAAGACGATTTGCTTTCTAACCTTGGGGCCTGAAAAACTTAAATAGACATAACATTGGCTGTGAAATACGTATAGACCCAGAGGTCTACAAAGAAGAAAGTTGTAATGACTTTTAAGAATGTAAAAATAAAAGAAAGCGTAGCGCACCCCTACAGCAAAAACAGTATTAAAAAAGTAACAGTAAAATTAAGGAAGAGAGAACGAGGAAAATAATAATAAACCAAGGTGTTGGGACCTCCTGAAGAATTATTCATAGATAAAGGGGTCAAATCTGGTTTACAAAGATACCTTGAGTGTTTTTCCCCCCTCCTGGTATGGCATCTTATCTTTGCAGCTTCAGAATCATTTTTTATTAATTTTATTATTACCTAGAGTCGTTGTTTTAGGGTTTTAGTAGGTCTTTTACTAGGAGTAAGGCTACTTAAAGAGATTGCATTCGTTATTTAGGAAGGTATGAGTACAATTTTTCTTTTGGCAAGGTTATGTGTTGCTTTATGTTCTTAAAAGAATACTTTTGGTTGCAAGAGTTTGATCAACTCCTTGTGGTGCCTGTTATAGCTAAAGATCTAAGAACAAATTCTCCTGGGATCTTAGCTAATCAATTTTTCCTGTGTTTTCAAGTTAGGAGCTCTAATTAGCCACACCTATACTTGAACATATAATTATAGAGATGATAGATCATGAATCACCTTAGTGTTGTTGCGGTAATAAGTATCTTACAATAGCATGACAGGCCAAGGCTATAAGCTCGTCCATTAGATTGTGATAATACATACCCCGTAGAACAGGTAATCTAGCGGTTTATGTTAGCAAGTCATAAAAACAAATTTTAACTCGTCAAGAAATACCAGTAAAATTTTCAGGCTCAGAAGAAAGAAAGACTGATCCAACCAAAAAGTAAGCGGGAATTTCTTTCACGAGACAATTAATCAGAGAAGCAGTAAAGGGAAAACATTATGATTAAAGTTGCTAAATTGGTTATCTAATCGCCTACAGTTCAGAGGTTGAAATTATAACTGGATCCATGGAACACTCGACGCCCTTATCAAAAAGATACTCAGAAAAATTAAACGTAAAGACCAGACACACCTTTGCCGTTCGAGGGCCACATCGGCGGATCAACCACGCGCCTAAAATTATCACGAAGATCCAAAAAGCTCTGCCGAACAAGCAAAGCAGTTCGCATAGACTCCTCGAACTCTTTGACCATACCCGAAGGCAATCCCTCCGGCAACACTGCATCCAAACCCTGTCGTCTAAATCACAGCATCCCGCAAACGCAAATTCAAATGAGACAACATTTAACAATGGATACAAATACAAGCTATAGGAACGAATCGCACACAGGAAATAAACGAAGAGGGTGCCAGAGAGTGTACGTGAACTTGAAGTAGCTGCAAGTGTCTTCACGACTGAGCTGTGAGAGTGAAGGGCTAGCGGTGAAGAGAGGACGACCATTGGGACCCACGTCGAGAGAAGGTTTGTTCTCATCGGCTTTAAGGAGACGTTGACGTTCCTGCACATCAGTCACGGCGTCGCCGCTATCGGTGGCCCGGGAAGTGGTGGCGATATGGGGAGGTTTATTTGCATCGAGTTTGAACTTACCCTGCGGGGACTTGACGAGGGTAGAGTAGGGGCTCTCAGACGAAGAACTCAGGGCAGGTATTGCAACGTTCTTGAGCTCCCGCGAACGGGTTCTGGAGCTCGTGGCTGCCGCTCTCAGAGCAGACCGCAACATTTTTCTCCTCTGAATTCACGGAGAAAGAGAGCCGAGGTTTTGGGTTTTGGAATTGAAACTATGGAGGGCAGGAAATCTGGAAATGGCGTAGGGGTATTGTCGTACTTTAAGGTCTTGTCCAATTGTTGGGCTTGGCTTTTCATTTAGGCTTATGGTTGGATTAGATATGGGCTTTTAGGCATGTTGTGAGCGTCAACTTAGACTAAAGGCCCGTAACCAAATGATCGTAAGATTATAAGTACTTTTTAAAAGTATTTTCGCCCAAATCGAAATAATTTCCATCATATATTTATTTTACATACTATAAAAATATTTTTAAAATTATGATTTTGTTTTTATCCAAATATTTTTATACGTTGGAAAAGTTTGTTTTGGAGCAGTCGTTCACTTAACCATGGCTAGTGATCCAAAATTCAAAATCTCTTTATATAACCCAGTACCTATAATCTGTGAGGAGTCATATAAAGTCATTAACAATAAGATTGCTGTTTAGACTCCGTGCAACTAATTTCGTATTATTCCAATAATATTTTCTTCTGCACATGCCATTGGATTTATTAATTTTAATTTCATGTATTTTAATAGAATTTAAGTGATAACGAAAGAATATATAATTCTCAAAAACAATAATCACGTATACATTTTGTATGATCCTTGTGAACCAAACATTTCCATGCATGGCTGATTCTCTAATATTACTTTCACTTTTTAATTGCTGCTTCTTATTTTGTTGTGCTCTACTTATGATTTATCGGGGCCGAAGATGCCTGGGGTCATGATTTGGGCTACAAATTAGAATACACAGTGCACACACATATCACAGATCGATCTTATATATAACAAGCATGGTGAAATACAGAGACACATGGTATCGCAGATACAAGAGATAGCTATTATAGTAATTGCTTCCTGTATTACATCCCAATCACAGGACCTAGCCACTAAACGACCATATATATATATATATATATATGGTTGGATCAGAATTCAGACAACGAGCACGAGATCGGGTAAGGACCCGTTAAGGCGAGCCCGAGGCATGCTTTGCCAAAGGCGGGCCTCTTTTCCATTCTCTGAGACGCGAAGCACAACAGTAAGCAGCGTGTTGAAGTACTCCCGAAACTGAGTTATAATCCCCTGCTTGAGTCCCCACACGTGCACCCAGTACGCCCCCGCCGCCTCTTCCCATCCTTCCACGATCACGCGCTCCCCCACGGTCCTGATTCTCCTGGGCCTGAATTTGAACGCCGACTGCATTGACTCCCCGGTCAACATCTTCATCATGTAATGGAAGTTGGGAAGGCCATGATACCACCACTCCAAGTTGGGTGCTACCAGCTTCGTGACCTTCTCTCTGTCCCCGTGACGCAATGCTTTATACAGCATCTTCACTGCCTTTCTGTTCTTGTTTTCCACCTCCACCGCCACAGTCGGCCCACCGGAGTTCTCCGGCGAGATCTCGTCGCAGGTCATGTACCCTGTAAGGCCCAATGAGCTAGAGTAGTGAAGAGAGACTGAATTGTACATGCATGTTGGAGAGTTTGGTCTCTTTATATAATGAGCGCAATGAAATCCTCCCCCACCCCAAAAGAACGGTGGTTCTAGCAATATTTAATATAATATTATCATAGTGTGGCTGGTTATTAAAAGAAAATAGTCAGAGAAATATACTAGAGGCTAAGCAAGCATGATTCTAGACTCAAATAAAGACAAAAACCTTGCATTATGAGACCAGAATCTTCTGGTCTGGTATAATATAATAATGGAGCTATATGCCGTATGTGGTATGTTTGTTTATGTTCATGGATCCGAAAGAGCTGTATAGCTGCGTGTGCTGCTGATTTGCGGGATTATAATACATTGAGAAAATGAAAGTAACCAACAGAGGTTTACAAGTGTCGAGTGATTTAGTGAATTAATTATAAAATGCACAAGGCCACGTTGATTACAATAATAAATATTTGAGGGATGTATTATACATACAACTTTCTCTTTTCGATTAGCTGAAGGTGTTTTGCTACTGTCAGATCAATTGAATTTTTGGAAATGGTTCCCTTTTGAAAGCAACACTAGTGCGATCGATATTTTGTATGAATTCGTGTTTTAAAAAAATGTGCTGTAATTAATCCTTTCAAGGTCACCAACTCGGTTGATGTCTCTGTAAAGCCACAGTACATCAGTACCCACAAGTTTTAAAACTTTTTTCCTGGACAGCCAGGAAAAAAATATGGGGATGGGATATTTGTGGCGATCCCTCGAGTTTATCTTAATTTTAATTTTGGCCTCTTAATTTTTAAATTATAAATTTTACTTTCTCAAAATTTTTTCTATCTAAAACATTGGTATCTATAATTTAATAAATATTTGAATTATTTTGCCATTGGAGAGAACCAAAACATATTATTGAAAATTTGAGAAATCAAAATAAAAATGAAATTAAAATTTAAAGGATGAAAAATGATATTAAATCAATATTTATGTGTTGATATTTTGTTTGGGGCGATCGGGGGCATCGTAAGGCATATAGAAATATAAGCTCAAATAATGGCAATCGTGAAAGCAACTATTCAGGGTTGTCCCATATAAAAATATCACGTACATGGACGGCTCTTCGCAGAGTTGCATGGTTCGGGTGCATAATTAAGGCAGTGGCGCTGGAAATGAAAATGAAACTTCAAAAACCAAGTGAAGGTAATATATGACATGTATATATAACTAGTTTAAGTATCTGCATAATATATGTGGTCAGAAGGCCATTGATGATGAGGATGCGAGGAGGAGCCGTGATCGAGTTTGTATTAAACGCTCTCCGCACTTAATTATTATAAGCTTTAAACTTAGAATAGGGTATTGTTAATTTTATAAGTTTTAATTTGGGTTTGTCTTAACATTTGATAAATTTTTTTTAATATTCTCATTAATTATTGTTTAATTATATTTTCTCACACATTCTCTTTTATACTTTTTGTCATTTATTATAAAGATATATTTAAAAACAAAATATATATATAACTAGTTATTTGAAACTTATAATAAAAGACTGGAGGGAGTAATTAGCTAACATCATACATTGCTCTCATGTGTGGTTTTTTTTTTTTTTTACACATAACTTTATCTTTTTGTTTGTTGAAATTTGAAAGTAATCTTATTCAAACTACTTGTACATTAAATATAGACAGCTTCCCAACACACGCATTGATAAACCAGATGCATTGATTAATTTTGATGAAACGCATATAGAACGCAGGACGTCGTGCGACTAAGACACCTATGCGTACAGAGGCGCATCAACTCGGGTATGGATTGTCATGTCACTAATAATTGATACTTAATAATTGTTTATAAACCCAGTGACGTGCTTTCAGCTGAACCATTAATGATACTGCAATCCGCAGACTCAATTAAAGTCCCACGCGTTCTTAGAAGCGGTATAGCCACCATCCACCACAAGATTATGACCACTCACATATCTAGACTCGTCGCTGGCTAAATACAGAGCAGCGTCTGCGATGTCAATAGCTTTCAGCGTAGGACCCTTGAGATTAGCCATATCTCTCACAGCCTCCTCCATTTTCTCAGCCTCTTCTTTACTGATGGGAGCACCCTTTGACTCTGCATCATATTCTTCCCTCCATCCATTAATGAGCAATGAAGTGGCCACCCCAAAAGGAGATATACAGTTCACTCTTATCCCGTATTTTCCCAACTCAAAAGACGCGTTCTTAGTTAGCCCGACAATGGCGTGCTTCGACGCCGTGTAAGCGTGCGGTCCCATACCACCCATGACTCCGGCCACGCTCGATGTCGAGATTATGCAGCCACGCCGTGCCGGGACCATCACTCTCGCCGCGTGCTTCATCCCCAGTGCGGTTCCTTTAACGTTGACGCTCATTGTGCGGTCGAATTCTTCTGGGTTAAACTCCATGATGCTCATCCCGTCTCTTGACTGGCTTCCCAGAACTCCGGCGTTGTTGAACATTATGTCGAGGCGTCCGAAGGTGGAGACGGCGGTGTCGACCAGCCTTCTGACGTCTTCCTCTTGTCGGACGTCGCAGTGCACGTATGTGGCGGAAGGGGATAAAGAGGCGGCCAGTGCTGTGCCGTGTGCGTCCTCGATGTCGGCGATGACCACCTTGGCACCGTGTTTGACGAAGAGTCTCACCGTCGCTTCGCCGATCCCTCTGGCTCCACCTGTTATGATTGCAACCTGTCCCTCCAGCCTGTATAACAAAATCCCACATATCTATAAGACAATAAACGTTCGTTTTTTATAAAGAGAATAAAAAAACATTAGAAGGCTTTAACTTGAGAGGTCATACAAAAAGAGGCAAGATACTAGTAGCGTCTGGCTCCTTACGACCTTACTCATATGATTCGCATACATGATTCATGTATGTAGCTTGTGAGAACTACGTAGCACGGACATTAATCTCTCTCTGAACATATTACGCACTTACAGAAATATTAATATATACTACCGGTCTTTAATATAAGTAGTTGACTAATTTAAGTAGATTAAGAAAACTAGTTAAGTTAGTTATTTGTAATAAATAAGTATTATTTTTTCTAAAATATCCTTATTAATCAAGTGTATTGGCTAGAACTACTATTATTATAAGATTACATTGGAAAAAATATATAAATGTGAGAGATAAAGTAAATTATGATCTTATATTTAGGATCAAAATAAAAGTCAAACAAACTCTTATATTAAGAACAGGAGGTAGTAAATATATATGGTCTTACGTAGATATATAACCAATCAATTCTCATGGTAATTCCTGTTGTGACATTGAGGACATAATGAAGAACGGGTGGCCTTGTGGCGTTATAGAAAGATGAAATAGAGAAAGGCTAACCTTTTTGGTACGAGGGAGCCACTATCCATTTCTGATGAGCAGTTTTTGACGAGGCTTTTGCCTGATATGGTTGAAGCAGCCGAGTACACCTTGAGATGAGAGCAGATATATATAATTAATTTAGCTAGGAATGTTGTGTGTACGAAGAAGGCACGAGAGCTTGATGTATATATAGTTCAGCCAGAGTTCAAAATATATATATATATGTATATATATCCGTCATTCAAAAGTTAACGCGATTGATTGGAGCAGATATTTCGGTGGAATAAGATCCTCTCTACCCTTCTCCTCCTCTACCCTTCCTCTGCCCTCATCCCCTTGACCCCTTCCATGACGTGACCAACAAGCCCTCATTAGTTCACCGCCTCTCCACAATGAGGACGGAAACATGTTTAAAGAAGCCATCAGTAATAAAGGGCTTCATCAGATTTTGATCCCTCCCTCAATAAGCCGACACCTGCTTGAGTACTGTATTATTGTTATTATTGTCTAGGGTTAAATTGGGTTAGGATGGCTTTAGTTACCCCCAAAAAAAAACTGCGAGATCTTAAGATAAAAATATGATCATTGAAAAGTATTACAATAAGTTAATTAATAAGACATAAATGATTGTATTAGATATTTTACCTTTCCTTTACCAGCTGTAGATGTATGATGCACATCTATGGTGCAAGCATAACCCACTAAAGATCTGAAAGATATGTGTCAGAAACACACACAGAGGACTTATTTGAATTTATGATCAATAAACATGTTCACGTGGACAAAACTCTTCCCACATACTTACATTGTATTTTATAAGTCATGATTAAAAAACTGCTTATAAACTACTTCTAAGCCATTCTAAACAAGCCCATAATCTTTCACCCATGTGGAATCTTTAATTTCCTTTCTCGAATTGGTCTCCTTATGTCACTTTCTCTGGTTAGCTTTCAGGATCAAAAATTCTGTGATCAATCATTTGGATGTTGTTCTCTCCCCTCGATACCTGTAGCATATTTAGTTAAAAGGGAATCTTGATTCCTCAAATATTACATATCTAGTGATATTGATGGTTTCAGTTTGAATCTTATATAGCAGGTAGCCCTTTTGATTGCTCGGATATCCCATAAAGTCACGTTCAGATCTGCTTTGGAATTTATCCTGGTGTTGTAAGGTGGTGGCAAAAGCACTCAAGCACCCAAAGACCTTCAAAAGAGATAATTCTGATTGATAGCCATGTATTATTTCATGAGTTTTATGATTCAAAATAGCAGAGTGAGTTCTATTAATCAAAGATGTAGCAGTTAATAGCTTCGCCCCAGAATTTCAATGGCACATTTGACTGAAGGAGCAAGTTCCTAGCAACTTTTAAAAGGTGTTTGTGCTTTCATTCTATCACCTCATTTTGTTGTGGTGAAGAAGGGCACAAAGTCTCATGTATAATCCCCTTGCGGGTTAAATGAGCTTTCAATTCAGTATTAATAAATTTTAAGCCATTATCAATTTTTATTCTTTTTATAACAGGAAAAACCGAGTGCTAATATAACCAGAAAATTCTCTAAATGATGAACTGTTTCACTTTCATTATTTACTAATTAACATTTACTATTTTCAATGTAATAAGTAGTTAATTTCTCCTCATTTGAAACTCCTAAATTATTTTCTCTGTTTCCTTTGACAGTACCTTTATGATGTATTCTGTTTTTTGTTTTTGATGTGATTTGGCCTTTTTATTTAAAAAAATTGAATAATTCGACTTTTTCTTAAATATGTGCCAAAAATAATAAGGTTCATCATTAGTTAATTAAAGCAAATACATATATAAATTTAATTTCCTCACTTGCGTAAAAATCTATATTGTATAATTTGAAGATAACATATTAATTTGTTTTGTATGTAGTATGGCTTCTCTGCAAATCAACATCCAAAAAAATGCATATTAAACTAGACTAAAAAAAAATCTATATGTAAAAGATAAACTCTTGTATATATCGTCATGTAATTATTAATAATCATTAATTGCTAATTATAATCATTGCTTATAAATCCAGCGACATACTTTCAACGGAACCATCAATGATAGTGCCGTCCGCGCGGACTCAATTACAGTCCCACGGCGTTCTTAGAAGCGGTGAAACCACCGTCCACCACAAGATTATGACCACTCACATATCTGGACTCGTCGCTGGCTAAATAAAGGGCAGCGTCAGCGATGTGAATAGCTTTCAGCGTGGGACCCTTGAGATTAGCCATATCTCTCACAATCTCCTCCATTTTCTCAACCTCTTCTTCATTGATGGCCACACCCTTTGACTCTTCTGCATCATCTTCTTCCCTCCATCCATTAATGAGCAATGAAGTGGCCACCCCAAAAGGAGATATACAGTTCACTCTTATCCCATATCTTCCCAACTCGCAAGAAGCGTTCTTAGTTAGCCCAACAATGGCGTGCTTCGACGCCGTGTAAGCGTGCGGTCCCATACCACCCATGACTCCGGCCACGCTCGACGTCGAGATTATGCAGCCACGCCGGGCCGGGACCATCACTCTCGCCGCGTGCTTCATCCCCAGTGCGGCTCCTTTAACGTTGACGCTCATTACGCGGTCGAATTCTTCTGGGTTAAACCCCATGATGCTCTTCCTGTTTCTTGACTGGCTTCCCAGAGCTCCGGCGTTGTTGAACATTATATCGAGGCGTCCGAAGGTGGAGACGGCGATGTCGACCAGCCTTCTGACGTCTTCCTCTTGTCCGACGTCGCAGTGCACGTATGTGGCGGAAGGGGATAAAGAGGCGGCCAGTGAGGTGCCGAGTGCGTCCTCGATGTCGGCGATGACCACCTTGGCACCGTGTTTGACAAAGAGTCTCACCGTCGCTTCTCCGATCCCTCTGGCTCCCCCCGTTATGATTGCAACTTGTCCCTCCAGCCTGTATAACAAAAATCCCATATATCTGTAAAACGATTGGCGTTCGTTTTTCACAAGGGGGGGGGGGAACATTAAAAAGCTTTGGCTTGAGGTCGTGTAGCTTGTGAGAACTACGTAGTTATTAGCATGGACACTAATCTCTCTCCGACATATCACAGACACAGAAATATATGGTCGTACGTAGATAGAATTATAAGCAACCAATTCTCATGATAATTCCTGTGGTGACATTGAGGATACTTAATGATAAACGGGTGGCCTTGTGGCTTTCGTAAGATGAAATAGAGAAAGTCTAACCTTTTTGGCATGAGGGAGCAAGTATCCATTTCTGAAGAGCAGTTTTTGATGAGATTTTTGCCTGACATTATTGGAGCAGCCTGCTAGCTAGCACATTTTGGGATGAGAGCAGATATAATTAATCAGCACTGAGTGGTGTATATACGAAGAAGGCACGAGAGCTTGTATATATATAGTTCGGCTATAGAGTTCAAAATGTGTACTCACGCGCGGACATATGCGGCTCTCATATGTAACCACCGAAAAAAGATAATTAAAAACGTGATTAGTCGGAGCGGACATATTTCCGTCCTCCCATTGTGCGGCGGGCGCTGAATTAATGAGGGCCTTGGTGGCCAAATCATCACCACTATTCATACGGAGTGCTAATCTATTCTTCGTCAAGACCTAATTATTGAGTTAATTTTTATTCTAAATATAAGACTTATTTCTCATGTTTATTAATTTTCTCTCAATTACCTATATAGATATTTCCTCAACCATACTCAAGTAGAAAAGGGAGAGGTGTATTAAAAAAGATGATTATGGTGTTTTAGAAAAAACATATCACATTTCTTATAATTAACTAATTAATTTACCTAACTTTCTTAATCTAATCAAATTAGTTAAATGGATCTTATATTAAGGACCGGAGGAATAATTCATGCATCGGAGGTAACCATGTCAGTAATTTAAAAAAAAGCCATCAGCAATTAATAAAGGGCTTCATCAGATTTTACTTGTTATTATTTTTTAGGATTAAATTGGGTTAGGATGGCTTTAGTTACCAAAAAAGAATCACTACGAGATCCTAACAAAAAAAATAATTTTGAAAAGTCTTATACTAAATTAATAGCATACAATAACAAATTTCAGTATAATAAATATAATAATATGCTTGCGCTGTTATGGAGATTTTTTTAATATATTCCTTCATTGACATATTACAATTAATTTTTTTTAAAAAAGGATAGCTACATGCTTCCCGTGCTGTCTTTTAAACTAAGTAGCAATTTTTGAACTGTTAAATCATTTTGATATTTCGATATTTTTCGTTTGAGTTTGACTGTATCATTAGGTTATCCCTTTCCGGTTGAGAAAATCTTTCCATGCAATCTCATAAATGTGAAACGATCGGATTCTGAAACATCTGTTTTTTGTCTTCTTGTTTTTTTTCCCCCCTGCCGAATGGAATGAAACTGGAAACAAAACGGCAAAGGCAAATTAAACGTGGTCCTGATTAATAATAACGTGAACAATATTACACACGATTTTGTTATTCTCGTGCCAAAGAGAATATTAAATGCTGTGCATTTTGAAGCCAGTACTCAGCATGCAAGAACACCAAGCAAACAAATGAAACTCTTTCAATGGCACACGTATCTTTACTGTGCTTTGATTCTTTCCACTCCTTTTGTTAAACAGAAACCTCTCAAAATTACTATTTTGATTTGATGCCAACATTAAAAAATAATACTACTACTATATGCACAGGTAATAAAAAATTTATATGCTTATTTATTAGCATTAATACAATTTTTAGTTTTTTTAAATTTGTTCTCATTTTGATTTTGATATCTTAATTTTTATTTTATTTAAAACACTAGTCCTTATAATTTAATAAAAAATTAAACTATTTTACTTTCTGAGAGATCAAATTTGTGATTTGAAAACGGGGGTTAAAAATCATATCAGTCCTATTCAAAAGCATCGTGACAAGAGGCTCATCGATGACAAGGTTAGGCCGAAACTTGAAGCCCAAAAAGTTTTGGGCGTAAAATTCTAGGGCTCTATTCGATCCATAATTGAACACCGGCGTCCGTGCCCTCTTCGCTGAACCGAGCTTTCTTCCTCGTCCTCACTTCCTCCTTCGAACCGCAGAAACCATGCTTTCAGGGGACATACCTCCTAATCAGACTATATACGTTAAGAATCTCAATGAGAAGATCAAGAAAGAAGGTTAGCTTCCTTGCTCTTGTTACTAGTAGAAAAATTAGCTGTTTTGATTTCTGTTGATTCTGATGTTGTGAATTGTCGCGACCCAAGTTTTGCTTGGTGGGTCTCCGTTGATGATTGTGTTTCTTTCCTTTCCTTTTTTTTTTTTCAAATTCTTTTAAAGTGAGAATTGAGGTCCTAAACAAACCACCTGAAACTACTTACTGGGTTGTTCTAACTGGACTGAGTCATAAGTTCTGGCATTTGAATTCATGTTATCCTTGCATCCGGCATGACACTACAATGAAATTACTGGTGAAGCCCGAATTAGCTAACGTGTTTTAAAAATTTACCGGCTCGTGGCCAATGGCCAAGTGTATGAGGTTTTATTTTGCCCTTTGGATAGTTGACAGCTCTTGTTAAATTTGGTTGGTTATGGATGATCCTTGGGTTCCATGGTTTAAAAGCTGATCCTGGTATTGAAAAGGGGATTTAGTTTTTCCCCATCAAGAATACATCAAAATGATTAATAGGCTCATTCCAAGTCGAAAAATAAGGATCAGCAGGCTTATCTCAGCTTGATAGCACTGACTGGTGATTGAAGCACGAACTTATCAGTGGATAACATTTCTATCTTATGGTGCTATCTTTCAGCTTGTAGTCTGGGAAAACATAAAATGGGCTGCGCGCATCTCAAAAGAACAATCTAAAAGCATGCAATTCATGACACCATGAACGGAATCTCATAAGTTGTGTGCCGAAACCAAGATATAATTGCCCAAACCTTGCCTGATAAATGCCAATGGTCTTGTGTTTGAGATACTGTCAATATCTAGGATGCTCTTTGTTTTCGTTGATAACTTTTTCATGTTAATGTTCATATTTTACTGTTGAACCTATGATGGATTTTAGTAATAAATTTTGTTTTGTTATGGATATGGCAGAGTTAAAGAGATCATTGTATTGCTTATTCTCACAGTATGGAAGGATTTTGGATGTTGTTGCTTTGAAAACGCCCAAGCTTCGAGGACAAGCATGGGTTTGTTTCAGTGAAGTAACAGCTGCCAGTAATGCAGTGCGACAAATGCAGAACTTCCCATTTTATGACAAACCAATGGTAATCAATTTCTGTCTCATGGGTAGTTCCTTAGCATTTGCATTCGTCAATTCTATGAATCTTTAGGCTCTTTATGAGTTTTTAAATTTTCTTAATTTATTCTAATTCTGAGGTCAGGTTATCTTGCTCTATCATACCAAGTATTTGTCTATTGTGTGTCATGTTTAAGCAAAAAATGCAATCCTGTGAAAACTATTCCTGGTTTATCTGGTTTTTGGGTCTAAACATCTGCCAGGCCTTATGTTCTTTTTTCAATAAATTTGCTTGTTATTATGAGTTCTTTATTTTTTTTCTGCCCGTAATATTTAAGCGTAGTATTTGTTGTGGCTAATTTCATGCAGCGAATTCAATATGCGAAAACAAAGTCAGATTGTATTGCTAAAGAGGAGGGAAGTTATGTTCCGAGGGAAAAGAAGAAGAAACAAGAGGAAAAAGGTGAGCAGTGGCAATATTTGATTTCTTTTGGATCAATAATTTCCTTGTTTTTTGATTGCATAGGTATAGTGTGCTTCATATTGTCAGGCATCTTTAATCATTTATCACTAAAAAGTGGCAAGCCATCTTACACAAACGGATCGTAGAATTTATGCATCACGAGCATCACAAACTGAACTGGAATTAATACTCTGTCCATGCTTTTTGAGAATGAACTTTTTTTTACAGTTGTGTTTTGCATAATTGAGAAGTTTGATAACCTGCCTTCTACTATGTATTATTTTCTACAAAAAACTCAAGATTAATTAATTGTTATTTGAATAACATATTATTCGATGTTCAGCTGAAAGAAAGCGTCGTGCTGAAGAAGTTCAGCAATCTTCTGGGCCTAACGGTACACATGGTGCAAGCAATGGTGGCCCAACGGTATGTTTCTTGCCATATACTAACCAATAGTACTTCCCCTCCTCCCGCTGGTCCCCGTCCCCTCTTTTAATATAAACTATTTATTACTATTGTTGATTTGGTGAATCCCCCTTATTCATCGGACAAAATTTGGGTCTTTGGAGCAATCAGGCATGATTGGAATATAACTTGTGAGCTAAAATGTGTCTACATATTATCCGCAGGCTGCTTTCCGCCAAGGGCCAGGTGCTCAAGAAGCAGCTCCTCCGAACAATATTTTGTTCATAGAGAATTTGCCTCATGAGACCACCAGCAGGATGCTTGAAATGCTCTTCCAACAATACCCTGGTTTTAAAGAGGTGCGTCTGATTGAGGCAAAGCCAGGTATTGCTTTTGTAGACTTTGAAGATGAGGTACAGTCCTCCATGGCCATGCAGGCTCTTCAAGGCTTCAAAATCACTCCTCAGAATCCCATGGTCATAAATTTTGCTAAAAAGTAGATGATTTTTCAGCGGCTATTTGTATTTCTCCATCCCTGTGTGGAAAGGAGCACTTTCAAGTACTTTTGGATACTCTGTACTGAATATAGATCATTAAGAAAATAGCTACAGAAGCTGTAAGTTACGGGAATGTAAGAGAACTGCAGTTGGTGGAATGTGTAATTTGAGAATTCGACAAAACGAGCAGGAAGATTGAGAATTTAGATGGTGATGGTGTAATGTTTGTGCTCGTACGTGTACTCAATTTTTTGTTTAAACAATTTCATGTTTGCTTTATAGGTGAGGTTTCAACAGTTGAATGTTTGAAACCCCAATTTCCAGGGTTTTCCCAAAAGCTTTGTTCCCCCGTACGATTCTTCTTGAGTTACATCCCAAGATGCTTTCAGCGGGAGGATAGAAGAGACTGAACGCTCAAATATACCATCAGATCACTTTGAAATTCGCATGATAACAAGTGATCGTAAGGAAATTAATCGATAAGAGAGTTGAAGCTTTTTATAGAATTATATTAAAAATTTCATGTTTGCTTTATAGGTGAGGTTTCAACAGTTGAATGTTTGAAACCCCAATTTCCAGGGTTTTCCCAAAAAGCTTTGTTCCCCCGTACGATTCTTCTTGAGTTACATCCCAAGATGCTTTCAGCGGGAGGATAGAAGAGACTGAACGCTCAAATATACCATCAGATCACTTTGAAATTCGCATGATAACAAGTGATCGTAAGGAAATTAATCGATAAGAGAGTTGAAGCTTTTTATAGAATTATATTAAAAAGATTGGTGCGCACTCCTAAAATTAGATCAGGCGTATTGTGATTGGATGGCATGATAAACCATTAATATCAATATCAATGTAAAATATATTAAAACAGTATTTACGAGTTGAGAGTGGTGAGGCCCTCTTTTCTTTTTTTTTTTTTTCTGGTAATAATGTATGATGCAAAGGAGGCTTGCCCAGTTAGGCTGATGTTACATAAAGCCTCAGGGAACAAGGCATATAAGCTGAGTGGTGGGTGACAGTCGGACAATGGGCAGGTAGGATAAGCAATCTTTTTCTCCTATAGTTGGTACCCTGAATATCATTATCCATTTGGAATTTGAATTTTATCTACTCAGAAAGCAGTGATGTTGTCAAGAGTCAGGTTCCTTGGATTCCATCTGTACGTAGATCCACACTTTAAAGGAGATCCAATAGTGAAAAGACTTAGCTAGAGCTCAAATTTTCCGTACCAGATGAGGAGATGAAGGAGCATGTTATTCAGGACTTACCAATCCTTACAGATTGCATTTATTCTTTTCAATCTGAAATATAAGTTCCATCCATGATCCATGTGCTCCTTTCGCCAATGCCAGTAACCAAATGTGCCTTCCAGCCTTTTCTTTTGCCAAACAGCTGAAGTTTATAAAAGAGAAGTAATAAAGACCGTACAAATATAATGCAAAATTGTTGCGTTTGGGAGAGGAATGTTTTGATTGGACAGGTTGTGGAATTTCAGATGCTGAAAAAGAAAGAGTGGGAGAGGATCTCGGAAGCGTAATTCGGCCGAACACTTTCATGCCCACCGCCTTCAGTCTGGTTGTCGTGTAGTGTGTGAATGGAAACTCACTTCCATGCTCATGACAAAAGAGCGCATTATGTGTTCCGCCTCTGGCCACCCAATGTGCCGCTGAATATATACTCGCCTTCCTCTTTTCCTCACCCACAGTGCTCATTTCAATCTTCACACATGGCAGAGAAAGTGCTTAGACCATGGTGAGACTTGAGAGTGTGGAGTGTCAGTGAGAGGATCATGATTCCATGCATGCTGGAGAGTGACGCACAATGCCCTCTTCGTCTCATTTTATTGAAGTCTTAACCCGAAGCAGAGAAAGTACTCTGCTTTCTGTTGCTGGTTAACTGAGATTTTTCAGTATGCCGCTCTTTCATTTCTTCATACTGAATTCTCTTTAACGCTTCTCTTCACTCTCTAGAGCTGAGCAATAAGAACATGGAGCCGCCACGCAGAACTACCACTAATTTCTTCAATCTTCTCACAGAGGAGATCATTTCGATTATCCTCGACCATCTCCATGACGACCCACTGGCCAGAAAGTCGTTTTCTCAGGTCTGCAAATCCTTCTACTCCATCGAGTCCGGCCACCGGAAGTTCCTCAAACCACGTCTTTTAGAGTTTCTTCCGAATGCCTTCCGCCGTTACCCGTCCATATCACAAGTTGATTTCTCTCTCTGTCCCCGCGTGGAAGACGACACGCTGAGCTCAATCTCGCTCGCTTGGAATTCTTCCTTGCAATTAATTAATCTTTCTGGGTCCAAATTTTTCACCCAGAAGGGTTTGTCAAATTTGGCTACAAATTGCTCGTGCTTGTTGCAGATTAATTTGTCGAATCAGACGGACCTCACGGACTCATCTCTCGAGGCAATCGGGGAGGCCAAGAATTTGGAGAAGTTGTGGTTGACGAGGTGTAAATCAATAACGGACATGGGAATTGGTTGTCTGGCAGTTAATTGCAGAAAACTGAAGTCCATTTGGTTAAGGGGGTGTCTGGGCGTCACCGATCATGGGGTGGCTTTAATTGCTGTAAAATGTAAGGAGATTCGTAGTTTGGATATCTCTTACTTGCCGGTATTCATCTTTTACTCTGCTTCTCTCTTAAGCCTTCTTGTAGTAGCAAGTGTACTGACAATATACTGGCTTTCACAATTGAATGCACAAACGGGACTTCACTTGAATGTTAGCTTGACCTAGTAGTTTCCAAATCAGCGTATTTTCAGTGTTTGGTGGGATGCAATAAATTTTCGTTATGACCCTAGTAAGTAACTATTAATATGAACTCACATGTCAGGTTTAGGGAGTATATATAGACCTCAGTGCAAAATTGATCAAATCGGTTGCTATAATCTGGTATTCTGCATCCGTGACTAGCCAAAAAGTGCTTGATGTGCTTACTCAGCTGTAACCTTAGTTATTGTAATAGTATAATATCTTGTTGACAAGCACTTGTTCTATAGGTTGCAGTGCTGTAGAATCAAACATCAATATTTGTCAATAGTCAGCGACTAGTCTAGTGGTGAAAGGTTTTAAATTATACTTGCTTTCTGGATGAAACAAGTAACTCGTGCATTTAACCAAGTTGCTTATAAGGAAGCTTGCATGTGTGCGGTTTTTCCTTGCTTTTGTTTCTAAGAAATATATAAATTTTCCAACTTTGTCGACATTCATTTGACCGATGCTGCAGATCACAGAAAAATGTCTTTCTCCTATCTTCGAACTTGAATATCTTGAGGATTTAGTTCTGGAGCATTGCCTTCGCCTTGATGATGATGGCCTTGTATCCCTTAAACAAAGCTGCCAGTCACTGAAGGTACGTTTTTAATTGCCATCAAAGTTAGGCAAAGTTCCTTAAGCGTATGCTATTAAGCATGCCAAAAAAGTCAAACAAAGTCCTCTAATTTTTCTCTTTTTTACTCACAGGTGCTTAACTTGTCAAACTGTCCGAACATCAGTCATATTGGCTTATCGGCTCTAACAAAGTGTGCTCAAAACTTGGAAAAGATTATCCTATCATACGGCCTCTCTGTGAGCAGCTTGGTCCAGTGATCATACCTTTAGTAGTTAATTTAACGTACGACCCCTTATGCCACATTTAATGAACTAAATCTTTCTTTTTTCAGTTCACTACCGATCTTGCAAAATGTCTCAATGATTCTCCTAAGCTGCAATCTGTTAACTTAGATGGTAGTCTGGTTAGATGTTCTGGGATAATGGCTATTGGTTATTGGCATTCCTCACTCAGAGAACTGAGCTTAAGCAAGTGCAGATTAGTGACAGATGAGTGCCTCTCTTTTACTGTGCAAACACACAGAGACCTAAGGAAGCTGGACATAACATGTTGTCGCAACATAACTGATGCATCAATGGACCACATAACAAGTTCATGCCCGATGCTTACTTCCCTTAAATTGGAGTCTTGTACCCTTGTCTCTAGGGATGCCTTTTTATTGATTGGAAGGTGTCAGTTTCTGAAGGAAATTGATGTAACAGATACTGACATTGACGATGAAGGTTTCGTTTTGAACCTTAAATTATGTAAATATATATGTATATTCATTCAGTAAATGATTTGTTATGCTTGATTTGTGTAGGACTTCAGTCAATTACAAGATGTTCCAAACTATCTTTTCTAAGATTAGGCATATGTTTGAATGTGACTGATAAAGGACTTGGCTATATCGGAAGCCGCTGCTCAAAGCTCACTGCACTTGATCTATACAGGTTTCTTGGTGCTCAACTTTGGAGGACATATTATCCCTTTTGAGATGTTGATCAGGGGTGTCTTCCCGCATTTTTGTTTGACCTCATTAAGAAAACTTCTACAACAACCCAACGATTTGATTTAGTTTTGTTTACTTCGCAGGTGCTCAGAAGTAACTGATTTGGGCATTTCTTCAATTGCTGATGGTTGTCCTTCACTTGAGGTGATTAACATTGCTTATAACCCTAACGTGACTGATAATTCATTATTATCTTTGTCAAAGTGCTGGAAGCTTAGAATACTGGAAATTCGAGGATGCCCTTGCATCTCATCCAGGGGACTCTCAGCCATTGCTGTTAGATGTAGGCAACTGACTTTCCTGGACATCAAAAGGTGCAATAATGTTGATGATGAAGGGATGATTCAACTTGCTCAACACTCCCAAAACCTTAATCAGGTAAGTTCCTTCTTCCTTAGTTGTGTTGTCTAAATTATCAAGATCACATCAACTCGTTTAAATTGTATATTTAAGGCTTGTGAATAGTTTTATTATAATTTCCAAACAATCTCCCTTTCATGAAAGCTTATTGGGTTTCAAATGCGGACAAAACGATGGTCTGCTTGCTTCATTAAATTTTGAAACGGCCGAGGGTGAGTACCAGATTTTGAGTTCTTAGCCACTTGATCATAGAGGCTCTAGTAGAGCACTTGAACTCATGAGTTTAAACACTTAAAGCGAATATCTATCAATTGTTTTATTTTGTTATTTTTACCAAGACAACTATATTCAGAATTAACTAGCATCTATTAATTTCCTTGTATTGCAGATTAAGTTATCATATTGCTCAGTGACTGATACGGGGCTCTTAGCTCTCGCTAGCATGAGCTGCTTAAATCACATATCTATTTATCACTTGCACAAGTTAACTTCGAATGGCCTGGCAGCTTTCCTTATGACAAGTCAAAGCCTAATTAAAGTGAAGCTCAACCCATCCTTTAAGTCATTACTACCTGAACAAATTCAAGAATACATGGAAGTTCGTGGCTGTGTACTTGTTTGGAGAGATAGAGAATCTCAAGCTTCCAGGTAAAACTCACATTCATGTTCACATGAAAAATTCTCTGGGTTTGATATAACATTCCATTTATCACTCAAGCTCGCTTATACTGGATTCTACAGGCGTATTAACAGGTGGGAATAAAATCCGAAAGGATGGAGCTTGATGCCGACGGGAGTTTTGAAGCTCCGTGCGGTTAATATGGCATCCTACCACTGAGCGACTGGCAGGAAATAGTCAGCTACGATGGTTTTGTGGTTAAATAGCGTAGTGTTGGCAGTTGGCTACTCGCGTGATCTAAGAGTTGTGCTGACTCATGAATCCACATGGATTTGCCTATTAGCTAGGGTTTCCTGGGAATAATTGATTCCATCATATTCAAGTTGTGATTTTGTTGTTTGTATTTTACTCACGTAATTGATGAACGACACAACAGAATGAGCTTACATGAGGGGGAGGGGGGGGGTTCACTATTTTCAGCCTTGTGGGGGAGCTCTGAAACCAGAGTTGCTATCCTTTCTAGGCTGCTTGCCTGTGCTGAGCCAGAAGTTGGGCCCAATTCGCCATGACAACAGGTATTGAGGTTTAAGGTTATGATTGTGAGATGGGGCAAAGCAAAGCGTAACATGAGCTCCGTCAAACGTTTCCCATACTGCTGCGCAAGACTGGTCAACACGAACATGATAATAGGCCTCACCTGCAATTTTTGACTTTGACTGCTTCAAGAGAATCGTCTCTGGAGAAAGTCAAAGCCTCTCTCCCTTCACTCTCGTCAATAAACTAATGATGAGTGCTGGTGAACCTGCTTTCTTGCGTCAGTCAAGGCCCAACCGATGCAAATCTATAGTGTGCGAGCATCTCGCTCGCAGCTCATGTCCATTGGGCACCTTAAGTAACGAATTAATGTGAATTTTATAACCCTCAACCTGATATTGTAATTCGCAGTCTTTTCTTTGTTAGTGGCCAAGACCACTGGTACTTTCCACACAAGTTCGGGATATTGGCAGCTGAGGGGAGCCGATTTAAATGCTACTCGTCTGGTCTTAAATATAAAATCCTTATACTAGTATGTATAAAAGTCTTATATTTAGGAGCAGAAGAGTAATTAAAAACCTTGTTTCATTGTGTTGTATGCTGATTATGTGTTCTGTTTCTTATTACAATATTGATGCGAGGAGTGACATGGGAGCTGAGCACAATCTTTTAGTTTTTTTTTTATTTTGAAAATATTGTCAAATGATGTTCGAATTAGCTAACAACTCGTTGAGACATTCATGTATTGATGTCGAAACGAGGATTCAGTAGGAGGATCTCAAGAATTTAGAGTAATTATAACTTAAATTAAATACTAACTTTGATCTTAAATATAAGAGTTAGTTAGGGGATTTTATTTAATTCTAGATATAAAACCTCAATTTAATTTACCTCGCAAATATATAATATTTTCTTTAAAATATCTTTATTGATTGATAATTTCAATATGCATGATTATATAGGGGATGATTCAGAAAAAACCTCAATACATATTTGTTACAAATAAGTATTTTAACTAGTTTTTTTAATATTTTAAATTAATTATTTAATTCCAGGTAGTATGAACTTTACGGTGCAACAGAAAAATCAATACATATTTGTTACAAATAAGTATTTTTAACTATTTTTTAATTTGTAAATTAATTATTTAACTCCATTCCGGTAGTATGAACTTTACGGTGCATGGCTTATTTCTGCAATCGAGCCGAGCGGATGAAATAGTTGAATGAGCTGAAGGAAGCCAAATTCCATGAAAATAGATTAACGAAATCCGTAACCAAAAAGGAAAAAGAAAAGAATGAAGTGCTTTGTGTGAACGTGTTCCATAATTCTTCGAGAAATGAGAACAGTGACGATTGACCGATTCTACGGCCAACAACTTCATGGCGGTCAAAAGGACCCATAGCCATCCCAATCCCAAATGACAAAAACTACAGACTACCAGCAGAGAAGGTCAACTAATTATATCGGATCCCATTAAAAGACACTGAGTGATCTCTCATCCTTTCCTGCTTTTTTTTTCGTTGCTCTGTACTCTTTCCATTCCTTATTATAAGAAACATTTGATACTTATGGTATGTTTCTATATATAAGAGACACTTAAAAAGTTGTCTCTACTTTTTTGTGTTAATTTCCTATTTTACCCATATTTATTGTCTCCAACTCACACTCTCTCTCCTTATTAATGAGGGCATTTTTGAAAAAAAAATTGTACTTGTTACACATTGATTATTCTTAACTAATTTTAACTGTTTTTTTATCAACGTAATTCAGTTATTCGTCTCTTATAATAAGGAATGGAGGGAGTAATAACTTCAATCCTTAATATATGAATTCATTTAAATATTTTGATCCTAATTATAACACATCAAGTCACTTTGTCTCTCATATTTCACTTTGTCTCTCATATTTATATCAAAGCAATCGTTATAGTAATAGTAGTTACGTTCTAATCAATACACTTGATTACGAAGAATCTTTTTAAATAAAAATAACGCTTATTTATCACAAATAACAAACTTATTTATTTTTTGAATCAACTCAAATTAGTTAACCTAACCAGTTCTTATATTAAAAACCGAAGATGATATCTAATTGTACTAACGTGTCAGATTCGTCCAAACTCAATATATTAATATAATTCTCTTTGTGCCATTTATTTCGACTGAAAAAATTTAAATTCCCAGTGTCATTTGATACGGACCAGGTTCATTCTACTCGATTTTGTAAATACTAGCATCATGTCGATTCAATTTTTCAAACTTTATGTGTGCACGCGCACTCGCATGTGTTAGTTTTGATTCAACTACGGTCCTCTCAATTCGTCTTAATTCCTTTGTCAATAATCCTTGCCAAGTTCATGAACTTAATTTGTCCAAAGGTGCAAGCCTGATTAACCATTATTTGTGTTTTCCTCTGCTTTTTGCGTTTTACACTAAGAGTTTAGATTAACTATAATCATGAACCGCGTCTTCGAAAAACAATAAAATAAATATACAAAATGTATTTATGTGATGTCATTTATTTTTTATTTTTCAAGGTATATCATCATCAGCTTAGAGCCTTAGACCATGTGTATTGGATAAAAACCAGGTAATGAGCATATGAATAATATAATAATTTATTTTTGGCAAATCTTATCGTCTATTATAGATTTATACTTTTTATTGAGGTGTGATAATTAAGGCTAGAAGACTTATTATTATTACATCAGCTGATCAGCCAAATAAAGAAAAAAGGAGGGAAGCATAATCTAAGCTTCAAGAAGATTGATCTCTTTTCTTGTGGCAAAAAGGTAAACACCTTTTGGCTTGGGGACAAGAAACCAATAGCACCTGAAGCATATTTAATTGATTGATTGATTAGGAATACAGATTTATCTAGATTATTAAGAAAGTATTAACTAATAAGAAGTTTTTATTTGTTGGAAGTAGCCGTGATGTGATAATGTCATTTAACCTCCAGATCATATTTTCTTCTATCTTTATTTTTTAAAAGTTACTTAATTTACTTAGGTAAATTTAAAAAATTCAAATAGATTACTTAATTATCATAAATGCGAGATGATCCCCTAAAATAATTTTATATAATATTAAATTATGTATTAATTCATAATTTAAAAAATAATTATTAAACAAATGAACAAATGAATTAGAATATCATGTTTATGGCTAAATTACGCGACAATAAATTTTATGGGGAAACTAAAGGTAGTAAATATGTAATGTATGTATTTTTTTCTCTCGAAATAAGCTTTATTAATGAAAAGAAAAGGTAAAATATATAATAAATAAATCAAAAAGAAAAAATATATATAAATATGAAATTAAAAAAATTAATTAGGCGAGTAAGCACAACATTAGGAGAGGGAGCAAGTTAATTAGGCGAGAGTCAAAAGCAGGCGGGTTTATTTATTAATTTATTTTATAGAAAATAAAATAATGTGAATCTGTGGGTCTGCGTACAGTAGGCTGCGTTAAAAAACATTATCTCTCAAATTCTCAACAGATGAGAACTCTCAAAAGTAGACACATGTGTGAATCCATGGTTTCTAGATGTTTTGTAATAAAGTACCTAGCTGGCTTAAATGCGACAACTTGGGCTTTTGTCCACAAATATTTACAAAATTGTGACAGCAATTTAATCAAAATCCTAGCTCACTTGATAATTTTAATAAAAAAATAAAAGAAGAATAAGACAAAATCATTCCGTGAGCATGAAATTAAAATGAAGAGATTTTCTTTATGGGCAACCCGGCTTACTTTGTATTTAAGCATCGCGAATTAGCAAGTAACGCACTTGTTAAAATTTATGTGGAAGTATTGTCTGCGATATTTCTCACGAGTTATAATAATACTCATAGTTTAAAAAAAATTAAGGAATTAAAAAAACTGACAGTTTTTTTTTTTTGTCTCTTTTAGTTGGGAAGTAGATGGGAATAATATCAAGCATCCTTGGATTTTGCCATGTGGTCAGGGAAAAAAAAAGGTTTTTGGCAAAAAAACAAAAGACGACGGAAAAGAAGGGGGTTTAAGAATAAAAACAGAGTCGGCGGGGCGCAACATGCAAATCGTCATGATTTGTAATTTCGTATAAGATGTGGGTTTTTATTATAATTTTGGCGCAAAACAAAGTTGTCGTACGTGCCGGGTATAATTTGTGATTTTTGCTTCCGTAGGATGTACGTTTGCGGTGACGAAAAACCATCCCTTTTTTTTTTTTGAGTTTTTTTTTCCCTTTGGATAAAGATGTGTTTCGGGAGACGGGAAGTGGGTTGCTTCCGGAATTAATTTACTCATTCACGACTGCTTTCTTTGTTTTTTTTTTATTAACAAAAAAAAAAAAGAATGCAGAAGAATCACAAAAAGGCATCCGGGGAAAAGTGAATTAATGTAGGGCACACGAGAAGGCCGGGCACGCGGAATGGCGTGGGTGTGGATTAGAGAGAGGCCGCTTGGAATAATGGGGAAAACCATTGCGAGGTGTATTTAAATTGTTCATAGGTTATTTTTTTTATTATGGATTATTATTATTATTATTTGTAAATATATGTTATTTCCGACAAAACATAAAACTACATGAGGGAGGGAAACGTACTATTGCATTATTTAAAGCTGAACAAAGTTATGAAAAATGTTCCGTGATGCATGAAAATAAAGAAAATTTAGGAACTTCTGAAATATCAATCCTTTCTGATTGCAACATGTTAAAGAGTGAAACGGCCACTAAATATTAAGAGCCGAGCCGAAGAGAGAGAGCTTGCAAATTGCAATAGTGGACACCACAAATTATTGGTTGTATGCTCTGTTTCAATTAGAAGTCTGAGAAGTGAAAGTCAGAATGGATCCAAAAGAAATGAAGGGCCTAAGTTTCTGGCTGTGTGCTGTCGAATAAGATTGAAGATTTGGCCGAATAGCAACATGTAAGAACAAGCTTGATGGGGGTTATTTCTAGTTTGAAAAAAAAAAAAAAGCTAATTCCTCGTAACTTAATGAATTAGGGCTCGTTTGGTTCAACCCTATTACAGACATGCAATGGTAATCACAATTGCATTACCATGAGTAGGTTGTTTGGTTGCTCTTTTGTCAGGTAATAGAGTTTACAATGACAATGATGATTATCAAAAATTTAGTAATGCTTATTCATACCTCACCCCTTATGAATGAGTATTACCATCCATGATAATATTTTAAATATCTTTTTTACCCTTAATATCTAAAATGAAAAGATACAAAATAGTTCAAATCAAATCCTTCCCTCCTCTTTCCTTCCGCTTCTTCATCTCTGCCTCCACCCTCCCTCCTTCCCTACCATGCTGGCGTCCACATCGACATCACGCCCCTCCTCCTCTCCCAAGTTCGAAGCCATGAAGGTACCCCTTGCTAGCGTCACTCATGTTCATCGTCGCTCTACTCCTCTTCCGATGTTAGCAGAGCTACCGTTTCTGATGTCGGCCTCTTTGAAAATACAAGTGTCGGCCTCTTCAGATTCAAGTACCACCAAAAACTCACGACCACATCTCCATCTCCTACTTCCATGGTCGCACCTATTGTCAACAAGTTTTACGTTTTTGTTTCAGATTCGAGTTTTGGATCTGATTTGTATGTTATGGGGTGCTACATTTGAACGTTGATTGTTAAAAAGAAAAGGGAGATTATGTATGAACCTTGCTTCTACCATGGGTGAAAATCGAAGGAAAGGGGAAGAGGAAGAAATAAATTGTACAGGGACATGTTGGTCATTACATTCTATTTTTAATATGATTAAATATAAAAATTAAATTTTCTGCAACATTCTTAGATATCAAACCAAACAGATTCATGGTAACGAGTATTACATGTCATTACATGGCAATCCATTGCATTACAGTCGTACGGAGGTATGCAATTGATCCAAACGAGCTCTTAATGTTCCAATCGAACACCTGATAAGATATATGTCTATATTTAGTTCCATACAATACGGTAGAAATATATTTATACATAAAAAAAAAACGTAAAGGTGAGGCTTCTTGCTTGTTGAAACTTGAATGCAAGTGAGACGTGGGGCACGTTATGTGTCCTAATCCAAACTCCAATATGAACATTGTGAGATAGCATCGAAGTTTCCGTGGTCCTTAACACGTCATACTATGATAAGGCCTCCATGTTGCCGTCTCCATTTATAAGCAATACTCGCAGATCTTTTCTTGGAAAAAAAGGCCCAAAAAAAAATCAATATATTATCTTACTTTTCCCACATATCTCTCTTATCTAAACTCCTGTTTGTTTCTCTTCCTATCTCCCCCCACAATTCCTGCCTAGAAAACAATGCAATCGGCCGAAAGATCATCCCTCTTTCCACAGCATGGAATCTTATGGGCCACCCTTTTCTTGCCCAGTGACATCATTTTTCTTCCTATCTTTCCTCCCATATATTATAATATGAATACAACTAATTTTTACAGGATAAACAACCAGAGCCCTCTGGGGCTGCAGACAACATCTTAAACTGCTCCGAACAACTGTGGAAACTGTCCTGCACACTGTGGCTTCCAACAGCAGAACCAACATGAAACACGACATCTTCATCTCGCCAGCAGAGGCTACAGTTTCACGATTAAGGAAGCAAGACATGACCGTAACAAGAAACGAAAAGATTTTGATTTTATTATTCATCCCGGTCTTTGTTGTTCTCAGCCAGCCACCACCATCCAGTCAAACCCACGAGCTTTGACTGGCTTTATCATAATACCAAGATTGTCCACCGTGGCATGTTTTCCCCGGTCAAACCATCCCCACCCCTCCGCTTCCTTCCCAGAAAGTGCCTCCTTCCCAATAGAAATCAAAGCCTTGCGCCATACGTGACCATCTTCCTCACCCTTTCCTCCTCTTCATATTAAACCTCCCTTTCTTTTTCTGTCTGAAACTTTTCCTCCTTAACCTCCCTGCTTCACCCTCCCTCTATCTTATGGCATCTTCTTCGGGAAGCCTCGACACTTCTGCTAACTCCCGCCCCACCTTCACTTTCTCTACGCATCCATTCATGAATACTTCTTTCTCTGAACTTCTCGCTTCTCCCGCCGCCGATAACCCTGCCTACGCCGTTGATAAACCTCGTGGATTGTCGGATCGTATCGCAGAGAGAACTGGGTCGGGTGTGCCTAAGTTCAAGTCGACCCCACCACCCTCGCTTCCTCTCTCTCCTCCTGCCATTTCTCCTTCTTCTTACTTCGCCATCCCTGCTGGGTTGAGCCCAGCGGAGCTTCTCGACTCGCCTGTTCTCCTTAACGCTTCTAACGTAAGTTTTACGCTCTTTCTTCGCTGCTGTTGACTGCTTTGTTTCTCAGAATATTAGCCCTGTTGAGAAATGAAACAGATATATCGGATGGTTTCCGGCGAGACTCGGTTGACTTTATAATTTCATTTCTTACATTTATTGGAATGAGTTCCCATGATTATATATTAGATTTTGAAAGAAGTGGCTTTATCAAAACGTGGAAATCTAATTGTGTTAGTCTCTGTTCTAGAATTTTCTGTTTTTTTGTGATTTAGCAGCTTCTGTTATTCTAGTTCGCCTTATGGATTGTTTTGTGATTTTTCTTTTTCTTGTAATTTAGCTAGATGGTTGAATTGACGCTGTGTGTTTCTTTTTTTCGTTTTTTTTTTTTTGGAATTCAGGTTTTGCCATCTCCGACAACTGGAGCATTCTCTGCTCAGGCCTTCAATTGGAAGAGCAGTTCTGGGCAAAACCAGCAAAATATCAAAGAAGAAGACAAGAACTTCTCAAGTTTCTCGTTTCAACCCCAACCCAGACCTCCTCTTCCATCCACCACAACGTTTCAAACTCCAGCCGCCTCTAATCAAGCTGTATGTGATTTATTTCGATGCAGATGCTCATCTATGTTCTACTTTCTGTAATCCTTGTTCTCATAACCTTTCATCTACAGCATCAGGCATGGAGTTTTCAAGAAGTCACGAAGCAAGATAACTTCTCTTCAGGAAAGAATATGGTGAAAGCTGAGAACGCTTCTACACAGAGCTATTCCACTGAGATGCTTATTAGTAATGTCCCAGCAAACCATAATGGTGGGTTTCAATCGGATCATAGCAATTACCATCCACAACCTCAGACCTTAAGCAGAAGATCAGATGATGGGTACAATTGGAGAAAATATGGGCAGAAGCAAGTGAAAGGAAGTGAGAATCCTAGAAGCTACTACAAATGCACATACCCCAATTGCCCCACGAAGAAGAAGGTTGAGAGGTCTCAGGACGGGCAAATCACTGAGATAGTTTACAAGGGAACACATAACCACCCCAAGCCTCAGGCAACTAGGAGAAACCCATCAAATGCATCTCTCGCAATTCCTGCTTCGAATTCTGTGACAGCTGAAATCCCAGATCAGTCATTTGCCAGCCACGGTAATGGACAAATGGATTCAGCTGCAACACCAGAGAACTCATCCATATCAATGGGGGATGATGATTTTGAGCAGTCTTCCCAGAGGACTAGATCAGGAGGAGATGAGTTTGATGAAGACGAATCTGATGCCAAAAGATGGTAAGTTTTAATCATGTAAATAATTACATGATAACCTGCCTTGCCAGATTAAATTATTTGTGAGATAATTCACTCATTAAGAGATTAACTTTTTCGTTAATTTTCCAGGAAAATGGAAGGTGAGAATGAGGGTATATCGGCAGCTGGAAGCAGAACAGTTAGAGAACCCAGAGTTGTAGTCCAGACAACCAGTGACATAGATATTCTAGATGATGGATACAGATGGAGAAAATACGGGCAAAAAGTAGTGAAGGGAAATCCAAATCCAAGGTAAATTAAAAAGCTTCACTTTGGTATTCCTCAAATAATATAAAAAAACCAAAGAAATCTAACTTTTTGAAACTTGTCCAACTTTAAGTTCGATCAAAAACAGTAGGTTGATGAGCTCATCCATCATAGTCCGTCACCCATGTAAATGCCTCATAATGTAGTACACAGTCTTGAGCTACATGATAGCCAGTGGGCACCGGGTCCCATATTTGAATGTACCTTTTTAGTTTTTATCATTCACTTGTCTTGGCTGACAAGCTCTGTTTACCACACGTGCGCAAAATCCTGTCTGATCTTTGAGTCTAATTGGTGAATTACAGGAGTTACTACAAATGCACACACCCAGGATGTCCAGTGAGGAAGCACGTAGAGAGAGCCTCACACGACCTAAGGGCAGTGATCACAACCTACGAGGGAAAGCATAACCATGATGTCCCTGCGGCCAGAGGGAGTGGCGGCCATTCTGCGAGCAGGCCTCTCTTAAACAACTCCACAAACACTAACAGCGCAATGACGACAGCCATAAGGCCCTCGGCCATCACACACAACACTAACAATTCATTGAACAACTCTATTCAGAATTATAGGGTAGCAGCATCAGCACCAGAGAGTCAATCATCGTCACTCGGCCTAGGGATGCTTCAGGGTCCAGGAAGCTTCGGGTTTGGGTTCGGGAATCCAATGGGGTCTTTCATGAATCACAACAACAACAACAACAACAATCAGCAGCAACCACAATCTGAGAACGGGTTTTCTTCCAGGGCCAAGGAGGAGCCCAGGGATGACATGTTTTTTGAATCTCTGCTGTGCTGATGAAGAAAGTGGCTTTGCTTTCTTTTTTGAATGGCCAGCACAGCGGTGGAAGGTTCTGTTAGGTTTGATATGACCAAAGGGGGAAAAAAAAGGAAGACGTGGTTGATTCCATTGATTTCATTATTTCATTTAGGTTTGTTTCATTTGTTGTATATTTTCCACAGGATCTACATATACTATACTGGCTGTATATTTCAATAATTGTATGTTTGCGCACACAGTGTTTGTACAATTTTTGATTGTTTTGAGGCGCCAGGGGCCTCAGTGTAATCTTTGTTGGTGTCTGCTTTCTTGTTGTTGCTCAACAGGAAGAAAGAATGGGAAATTTTGTCAAGAAAATCAATCACTGTGTTGTGGGAACAACTTGGTGGCCAATAAGTTCAAAAAAGAAAAGGGGAAGACGATTAAAGGGGTCCGTGTAGGAACACGTGTTGAAGGGGAGGGGGAAGGGGGCTGGCTGAGTCAAAGATGGAGAGCTGAGAGAGGGGGGGGAGAGAGAGAGAGGGGGGTCAACTTTGGGGGTGGGGATTAAAAAAGGGGAAGAAAACAAAAGGAGGTTGGGAGGGGGGAGAGAGGCGGGGACAAGGACAGGGGACTACTAGTAGGCAGTAGCAATGCAAATGCCTAATAAAAGACCCACTTGGAGAGGGGATGGGGAAGGGAAGAGGGCAGATACGAAGAATGGGAAAACGTGTGGGTGGGGGAGGGCGGTTTGTCCGTACGAGTCGGATTAAGACATGTCGTGTTTCGCACGCTGCTTCCTCCCCGTCCCTCACGCCCCCCCCCTAATTCTCTTCTTCCTAGCTCCTATTTGTTGCTACTATTACTCTATTAGCAGTGCCCGGAATTGGGGTTCGGTTCTAAATATTTCAAAGTGAGATTATTTTTAAAAAAGAAAATATTAAATCTAGTGATGCATGGCTCGGCGCCGGCTAAAATATGGTTCCATTCTAATTTATATTTAATTGAGAACACCCATCTGCTCCCCCAGCTGTCTCCGAGTTTCATACGTGTTTGTAACAAGTGTGGTCTGTACGCCAACTGGCCGCCTCTAAAATCTTCATTCCTCCATTCTTCGTCCTCGCGTGAGTGTTCCCAACAACAGGAATATTATATACTACCTCCCGTATATTTAATTTTTATTTTGATCTAAATATAAGACCTAAATCCACTTTGTCTTTCATATTTATTTAATTTTTTTTCAAGATAACCTTCTAATAATTATAGTTCTAGTCAATATACTTGATTAGCAAGGATATTTTAGGAAAAACAACACCTATTTAGGACAAATAACTAATTCAACTTACTTTCTTAATCTCCTCAAATTAGTCAACTGGCTCTTATAATTAGGACCGGAGGTAGTACATTAATAGGCCAACTCTCCTTTCAACGTTGGTTTCCCTTAATTTTTTTTTTTCTTGTACATAAATATCTCTTCACAAGGCCCCCCTCTCATATTTACATTTGAATTTACATTTACAAGCTATTGATTATTATTACTACTAAAGAATAAAATCTAACCTTATATACTATATGAGTTGTCGACATTTGTTTTTTTCATTTTAGGGTAATGCATAGTGGCCCATTTAATTGCAAGACACAATTGAATTGGGTTAGGCAGCACTCAACAACTCACTGATTCGTTGGATTTGAATATTGACGCTTATTAACGATGAGAGGCGACCTCTAAATCCAAATACCAATGTCAAAACAAGAAAAAAAAATCTCATGAAGATGATCTTCGACTTGGGCCATTTCAGCCTGGATCTTGGCAATTTATCTCAGCCCTTTAATGACTAGGTGTGGCCCATCTGTAACCAATAATTTGATGTCCAAATCAGAACGGGCTTTAAGAAGCACCATAAATCATAATGGCACCTTCGTTATTCTATTCTACTTTCATAATGTATCAAAATTGGCGCCTTTCGACCCAGAAATTCTCAACCGTTTCCGCGACCCACTGCCGCGACGGTAATCAGCCGCGCCGCCACTAGTACAAATCTCCCGCGCCGTGTGATGTGTTGATTTTCCTATTTTATCCTTAAGACTTTGCTTACCATTTCCCCTGTCCCGCTTCCGAAGCAGTCATACCTCTCTTTCTTCTGACATTGCAAGCGAACGATTCAATGATAAAACACAGCTTCTTGAGGTACATTCTTGTCCGTTCGCATTCTTTTGGCGTTCTCGTGTCTCTCGCACGGTTCTCTCACATAATCACTGTGAAAAGGCGGATCCTACGACTCCGACGACTTTTGCTTCTTCCCGCGGAATCTCAATTTCCCCCGTCTGAAAGTACGCGTCCACTCCTCCTCTGGCGAAGGCGGCAAATTGTCTGATTAAAAATGGCGCAGAACCGTTGAAAACTGCACCACCATATTCTACGAATTGATCGCTGAGGAGTATCTCCTACCCAGTTCCGGAGCTATCTGCATCAACACTCCTACCGGCGAGGATATCTTGGCTCTGAAAGAAGCCGGTATCGTTGATTCCTTCGGAATCTTCAAGAAACAGTCGCCTCCTTTTTCGTCGGGGACACCTACGCTTTCGTGTTTCCTGGCAGCTGTGGCCTGCAGTAGTCAACTCGGGCGGCAGAAGCATCAATGGGGCACAAAACCTGCTTATGGCTGAATTTCGAGTGGAACAACCTACTTCCGTTTTCGTTGATACTTTTCATCCAAGAAGTTAATATGATAAAATGCTATTATGTGTTTGTGGCACACCATGTAAACTTGGTTATCAAATGTTACTCCACGAATTGAATAGCGCCTATTTTGCCGGCAAAAAGAAAGCACCTATTTTTTATGATAAATTATTACCAGGATTTTTTCCCTTCAAAGAAATGATTTGCTATATTGACGTAGTAAGATATGATCCTTGAAAATTGAAATCCTTGCAGCTTCTGGGCGTTGAACATTTGACATTGGTTCCATTCTTTATCCAACACCCCCCCCCCCAAAAAAAAGATCTTTTTAGTTTAGAATGACCAAATATAGATATCCATTGTTTTAGCACTTGCCTTATTTTCATTTTCATGTAATCATATCGTAAAAGGAGCCATTACTTGTTGCTCTGTTTCTCTCTCCCTCTCATCCATCCGTGATTTCTGTATTCTCTCCCAAATGGGTTCTCTAACGTTTCCTCTAATCCTCTGCTTCTCGCTCTTCTCATCCCAATGCTTCTTAATGAGTCTCACGCGATTCCTCCCTCTTTGGGAGGACGAGAAAGGTTTGTTCAGAATGCAATTCAAGCGGCAACGCAGGCCCACATCAAGTTTCAAGATTCTTTCATTTGTCATGCCTTCAATCTTCTCAACTCCAAGGGTTTCTTTTTGGGAGATGACCCACTCAACTTTTCTGTTCCTCTCATTTTGCTCCAGCTTTCACTCATGTCCATCTTCACTGGTTTCTTTCTCTTTCTCCTCAAGCCCTTGGGTCAACCCTATATTATTTCTCAAATTCTTGTAAGCTCTCAGCCTGCTTATTATTAATTTCCGTTTTGATGTTAAAATCACAATTAGAATTAATTATTGGTCCTCCATGGGCTGTAACGTCCGGTAATCAGAACCCCATTATAGTTAATCAAGCTGGGTCCTATATTTTGACTTTCAAGATTCATTACAGATTGTATGATCACGTAATCTATCTGTTGACAAATTCTGTACAATATTCTCAGAAAGAGAAACCAGTATAATCAAGGTAGGGAGCTGCAAAAACTGTTCAATTAGAACGAATCGCCTTTTGCTTTTGTAAATACTAAATAGAGACGATGAGGAGAATATTTAGAAACCACAGTCGTTTTAGCCAAGTAATTTTATAAGAGCTGTTACAAATGTTCTGGTAGCCACAATGGTAGGTCCTATCAAGATCCTAACTTGTTCTTTTAGTTGCTTAAACACTGGCCAATGGGTTAACGCACTTTTAGTTGTTAACAAGGTTATACATTATAAGACTAGCAGCCACCGAACTCTTCTATTTTGCCCAGTCTCGTTCTGTTATCTGATAAGTTATTTTGAGTTTGAAACATGAAACCCTACTAGTTGTAATTCACACAATCACTTTTTATGCGTTAAAGTTGATGCCAGTGATTTGTGTCTAATTTCTTCAGTGATCTCTGTTCACTAGGGCGGTTTGACTTTAGGACCTTCAATTCTTGGGCGCAACTCGGAATTTGCCAAGAGAGTTTTCCCACCCAAAGGAAAATGCGTGCTTGATACCTTTGCTTTTTTCGGCTTAATGATATTCGTCTTCCTAGTTGGCATAAAGATAGATCCTACCATCATTTCTAGATCAGGTAAAAGGACCTTGGCCATGGGAGTTTTGGGTTTCATTGTTCCGTACACCTTAGCCCAAACGGTTGCCTTTATCGTCAGTCAATTTTTTCCATTGGATCAAGATATTGCTGAGGCGCTTCCTATTGTGGTGGTAATTGCATCTATGACAGCGTTTCCAGTGATAACTTGTTTTCTTGCTGAACTCCATATTCTTAATTCAGAGATTGGGCGCTTGGCCTCTTCTTCTTCACTCGTTTGTGATGTTTTCCACTGGTCATTCATGGCAATTCAGTTTTCCTCAAGATTAGCCCACACACAGTCAATAGGAGTATGTTTTGAAATTTTCTTGGCAACCGCTCTTCTTATTTCTTTCATCATGTTTGTTGTGCGTCCAGCAGCATTATGGGCAATTCGACACACCCCAGAGGGAGAACCTGTTAAGGAAATCTATATTTTTGGGGTCCTCTTGACATTTTTGATCAGTGGATTCATGGGCCAACTGCTTGGCATCCATGCATATCTTGTGTCTTTCGTGCTAGGGTTGGCTATACCAGATGGGCCTCCGTTAGGAGCTGCACTGGTAGACAAGATTGACTGCTTTGTTTCTGCAGTGTTCCAGCCTATTATTTTTATCGTATGTGGATTAAGAACAGATGTTTTTGCCATAAAGGAGCTGAGGAATGTGGGTGCAGTTCATTTAATAATTTTTGTTGCCTTCTGTGGGAAGATTGTAGCAGTACTATTGCCTCTCCTTTTGTGTAGGATGCCTTTCCGAGATGCTCTTTCTCTTGGTTTTGTTATGAACTGCAAAGGCATTGTTGAACTGGCCTTGTTGATTGACTGGAAATTAGAAAATGTAAGCCATTTTTTTAATTCATTCATTACATAAAACTTAGTAGAGTTTATTTATTATATGCTAAATATAACAGGAGTGCTTCTTTGCATTTGCAGACCATGAGTGAGGAATTTTATGCAATTATGATCATTTCTGTCATGCTCGTAACTGGGATTGTATCGCCTGTTGTCAAGATCCTTTATGATCCATCAAGGAGGTTTCTTGCTTATAAAAGAAGGACAATTTTGCATCATAGCAACAATGAACCTCTGCGAATTCTTGCATGCATTCACAAACCAGATAATGTCTTGGCAATTCTGAACCTTCTTGCTGCTTCCAATCCCAACATAAAAAGCCCAATTGATTTAGTTGTGCTCCACCTTGTTAAGCTTGCAGGCCGTGCGTCCTCTCTACTTGTTGCGCATGTGCCACGGGAAAATACTTCTCGACATTATCCAACTGAGTCTGAGAAAATTTTCGACTCATTTGTGAAATTTGAGCATGAGCATGGAGGCCTGGTTACTCTGTGCTGCTATAAAGGCATCTCCCCATACGAAACAATGCACAATGATGTGTGCTACATGGCACTTGAAAAGAGAGTAACCTTTATAGTCATATCATTTCAGAAGAAGTGGATACATGGAAGGAAACCTGTGGCATCATTTCCCTTCAAGCACTTGACTAGGAATGTTCTAGAGAAAGCTCCTTGCTCAGTTGGGGTCCTTGTGGATCGTGGCAATCAACGAAGCTTTCGGGGTGATCATTGTGCCAGGGAACCAACATATCAAGTATCAGTGTTCTTCTTTGGAGGAGCAGATGACCGTGAAGCCCTTGCCTTGGCAAGGCGCATGTTGGAACAACCCAATGTGCATATAACACTAGTTCATTTTTCTTCTCCTTCAACAGAGATTGTTGCCGGTACAGAAAGGAGCAAAATGCTTGATACCCAGATCTTGAGTGACTTTAGGCTCAGCGCCTTTCGGAACGAAAGAGTTTCTTATAAGGAAGCCCAAATAATGGATGGGAGGGATGTGCTTTCAACTGTTGAAGACATAGACACTGTTTATGACCTTGTTATGGTTGGAAGAAGGCATGGGGACTCAAATCTGATGTCTGAACTTAAGAATTGGAAGGATGGAGAATTGGGAACTGTGGGAGAGATTCTTGCCTCCTTAGACATTGGAGCTAAAACTGCAGTTCTTGTAGTGCAACAGCAAACCAGATTCTGGGGACTACGTGACCCTGAGGAATCAACACAGCTCAGGAGAGAAAGAATAGAAACTTACGGCGTTTGATCACAATTAATTTTTTTTTTTTTGCCCCCCCCCCAACCCTTTTGCATCTAAGTTCATTCTGAATACTAAGTAGAGAAGTGATAGCATTTCAATCATTACTAGTTCCGAGCTGCGGGTGGGTGGAAGGAATCTTATTGAATCACTGTAAAGCCATCTGCCTTGAAATAGGGAGGCCCCGTTGATGGAGGATATCTTTACTACGGAAAAGATTAAGGCAGTTTTTTTTTTTAGGTTGAAATTTTACTGGGAGGTTCTCCAATAGAAAACATAACACATGCAAGACTTTCTTTGGAAAAATCGATTATAGAGTGAAATGCTAAGCAGTAAAAAGAAATCCAACTTGATAATCTGATATACTGGTGGCTATTTTTAAATTAATGGGACACGTTTTTTCGTGTACTGCTAATGCACAACATTTGAAGTAATGAGACACACAATTAATAACTAGAATGGCGTGGAAAGATACATTTGTGAAAGAAATAGGAAACTAAAGGCAGATATTGCTGCTTGATGCGATCAAATTTGAGGAACAGAGGGTTTGTGAGCCGGGGGACATTGCATCTTAATTAATCAGCGAAGCGTACCATTGCAGAGAAAAAGCAAAAAGCAAGCAGCATGCAACTAAGGAAGACAAAAATACGAAGGGTGGGAAGAAGAATGTCGGGAATAGGATTTGAGTGTTGGTAAAGTGAAGAAAAGGAAGGAAGCATAATGCAGAGCTATGGATTTTGTAATAGGAAACTGAAGACATAAATCTGAGCTTTTCAAGTGGGAGATATTGCATATGCCACCCGCTAAGTAAACCAGGTGGAAACAGTTGCAGCCATGAAAAACGAGGATGCTTCATTATAAATTATAACTTCCGAAGTCGGCTTCAATCACCCCACCCTGGTTTCATATACTGATATTATATATAACCGCACAACTAGAAGCACTCATCGTGGTACGGATAGGACCTGGGATGGCGGTCTGCATGTTCCTTAATTTCTTGTTCTTTCTGGAGCCTGTTTCCCAGTGCCGGCCTACGTATGCCCAATACAAATTTACAAGAAAATATTCACTCTTCTGCTTTATAAGGTACTACTTCCGGTTCTAATTATAAGACTTTATTTATAGATTACAAACGAGGTCTTATAATTAGGATTCGAGGTAGTAAATTTTTTTTTTGTTTTTTAACAATTTTTTTTTTTATCTTTGGTAATCAAATAACATACAGTATAACATTAAAACAACTGTAGTTAGACCGTGCATCTTGATTTGTGAATGATCTTGAAGAAAAAAATTAATAAATCCGTGATTCCGTGCAATTAAACTCAGATTTGGACTTTGATGAGCCTATGTACTTTAATATTTAAGAATCTTTGTTAAAGTAGTATCTTACAAAAGTAAGATGCGCATAGGTTATTATTTATATATGTTAAGTACAGCTGTATGTGTAGTTTCACTTTGACTTTCATTTCATGTCACTTGAAATAAATTAAAGGAGTGCTTAGAGAATTCGTTTTGGGTTGTAGAATATGCTCTCCGGGTATCGGTTATTATTATTATTATTTTAGCAAGTAATCAATTTAAAGTTACATGTGGTTCGTACGGATAGGCAGAGAATTGTTCTAGCTAGGTGTGTGATGTATGTTTTGTGCTTGGTCTTGTCATAATTATGAGCCTAGCTTGATTCCCAAAACAGATAAGAAGCACTTGAAGTAGAAGGGAATAGCACTTTGATGTCTTATATATGTTTCATATCACTTAAAAGATGTAGTCACCTGCTAATATTCGATTATTGATAAAGGAAGAGAATTAATGGAGGTGACAGGGGAAAAAGAGATAAAATTAAATAAATATAATGTGACATTACTCATAAAAAAGATGAAGGGGATTACTAATTAGGAGATAGATATTGATGGATTGAGACGTTGCCCTAAAAAGAAAGGTGCTCTTCCTCTTGTGGATTCCCTTATGGATGGTGGATTATTATTTTGCCACCATGCACCAACTTATTATTAGGTTCTTCCTCATCATGTGACTTTGGATCTATGCACTTTCATTCTCCATTTCCAATCAATCTTCTCACCACTACTTCCAAATCTTCAGGTGTAAGCTGCAAAATATTATTCTTTAATTTCCCCCTGAACTTTCAATTTTGTTTTTTTTTCCCCTCCCAAAATGCTTTATCGTGTGAAATGATGCAAACAGTACAATGGCATAGCCAAAAAAATTGTGATCAAAATTGAGATAGTGAGTGAGTAAATTATTGAAAAATAAATATCATGAAAATGCCTCTTTTCCCGAGCAACAAATACCTTTGAATAATTTTTAGTCTTAGTTATGTTTTTATAAAATTATAAAATTTAATTCACATTAATAAATCAAAATGCATTATTATTTTATAATGATCAAATACGTATAATAATTAATATTTATGTACTAAATAAATAGTATGTAAAGAATTGAAGATGATATAAAATGTAAAAATAGAAGCAAGTGACAATATTTATAAATTATGAAAAGTGAGTGTGACCTTAAATATGGTGGAATACAACATGCATCTACCTGACTAAATACATATAATTCTAGTATATACCAGTATATGTAATTAAAAGGATGTTTAGATAAAAATAAAATTATAATTTTAAAAAACAGAAAAGTTTTTTTAAAAACACTTCTTGAATAATCCAAACATCCCCTAAAGCGATTAAAGGCCTACACAATTACTGACTACTTGTAAATAGGGACAATGAATGGAGGAAATTAAGCTTTAAGAGAAGGGTTGATGAGAATTATATGTGGATGGTGAAAAAAGAGTAGCTATGAAATAATGGAATGGGAAGCAAGGAGGGAGGAGAAAGAGGGGAAATGTTTGGTTAAGGCGATGCAGGAATGAATTAGTGGCGTAAACTCAGCGTCTTGATCTCCTTTCTCCTAACCACCACTTCCCTTTTCCCTCTCCTCTCCTCTCCTCTCCTCGGGATCTCATCTCCCTACAATTCCCTCCTTTTCATTCATTAATTAATTCACCTCTTCCCTCTTTTCTTCTTCTTTTTAAAACAAAACATATCAACCCCGACTTTAATCTCGATCTTAATTACCTCACAAACTATCTCATTATTACATTATATTCACATTTCACCACTTTAGCTCTCAGCAGGGGCAGTCAACTGTTAATATAATAACAGTGCATGAGTGAGTTTGGGGTTAATTACAGAGAAAGCAATATGTATGGGGGGCGGGGGAATAGAGATCAAGAGGGAATCCCACGTGAAGCAGCAGTATTTATATTACTTAACGCACGATGTGCCAGCTTGTTCTCATTTGTTTTTATCCCCTCTCCTTATTCCTCATCAACGCCTTCCATTTTCGTTTACTTAACCTTACCTATTTCTTATCTTTAACCTTGTTCAATCACTTCTGCATATAGTAAACTTCATCGCATGCACACACACACACACACACTCTCTCTCTCTCTCTCTCTATATATATATATCCCCTTCTTCCCATGAATCTGTACTGTCTTATGGAGATCCAAACTATCTCCTTCCACTCCTATAAGCTAGCGCCATGTTAATTAATTTAAATTTAGATGTGCATGCAAAAACAACTTCCATGATGAAGAGCTTCCATCAATATGAAATTTCTTTAATTAATTGGTTATAGTGGCCATCTAGTTGTACCAATGACCCATGGCCTTTGAATTGACCCAAAAATGTAAAGATTATATTTAATTAACACACAAGGCCGGGGCGTGAAGTGCGCAAAGCCTAGGCTCGTAATCATTAACATTAATTAACACATAATCCGTTTTAATATTGTTGCTGTTACCACAATTCCCTCCCTTTGTTGCCTCAACGTTTACTATTATTATAATTTCTCATGCCCGATCAGTCTTATATTTTTGACTTCTTGATATGCGCAATAATCGTTTATCTTTTGATTTAGATATTTTGTTCCTAATCTTAATTATCACCAAAACGCTAACTAGCTAACAGTTTATCAACACAATAGCAGCAAATAGTAATTCATGACAAGTTAAGCCATTCTATATTAGTAATTGATAACCAGATTTCTCGGGAAGACATGTGTCCAGCAAGCATGTTCCATCTGGTTAGATTAGCTCATGGAACTTAATTAAGCCCCGCTTCATCATTGAAGTTATGGATCTGGCATTCAAACTCTCATCATTTGTCCCGCCGTTAAACAATGGATCAATAACGCCTAAACAATTTAGGGTGAACAAATACTAGCTATAATCAATAACGCCTAAACAATTTAGGGTGAACAAATACTAGCTATACTCATTTCAAGTCATATTTGATTCATTAAATTAAATTAAAAGTTTTCACTTAGGCAAGTTTCGTTATAAGTTTTCATTATGGGTTTCAAATAACAACAAAGGGAAGATATTTGCAAGAAATCTGTGATTCAAAGGGCACAAACTTGAATATCCGTCAGGCCGGTGGTTTTTTTTCCCATAGAAGTGAAAAGATTAAAGCTTGATCAAATCGAATAAGCAGCCAAAAACAAAGAAGGAAATCAAAAGACAATATTGACAAGGTAAATTTTTGTTTATCCACAAAACCAAAAACCCACGTACATTTGTTTTCAAAAGGGACACCAAAAAGGGCAAAAAAGAGAGTACATCATTCTTCGCTCTCCTCCAATAATTGAAACCATTTTTGGTTCCCCAAGAAAGCCAGATTCCGTCACCGGCAAACTCAAACACCGACCACCCCCCCCCCCAAACAAAAAAAGGACTAGTCCTCAGAGATACTCTCTAAACGAGGCTTCCATATTCCCGCGTGGCCGCTTCGGCGATCCCTGCGGGAAGATTTCTTCTCGGAGGAGGCAATATCCGCAGAGAGTACTGCGAGATGTTTATCACATTGAGAAGACAAAACAGTATGGCTACTCTTCTTCTTGCTGCTGATCTTGTTCTTCTTGGAGGAAGTAGTCTTCTTATTGTCGGGGACGGAGGAGGATGGGATCAAGAAGTAGATGCTGCCTCGCTTGAGCTCGGTATCCGGCGAGAGGACGAGAATCCGGCGAACGACTCCCTGGGAAGTGGGTTTGGTTAGAACGTGATTGGGATTGGCTTTGAGGACCTCATCGGCGGTGATGGGACCGGCGAGTTCTTCAACGAAGCCGTTGAGATGGACTATTCGGATCAAGTCAAGAGCACCGCAGGGAAGAACGCAAGCCAAACAGCACCTTAAGCTGTTCCCCATTTGACTGTAATAATAATGGTTTTGTGGAGAAAGAGAAGAGAGAAAGAAAGAAGGATATGATATCTGAGGTTGTGTGAATATTTGAACAGGACCAAGTTTGAAGGGTGAGGCTTGTATATATAGCAACGATCCTGCTCATAACTTTAACAATGATGGTCGTAATTATTATTATTATTATTATTCATCTGAATTGACGAAACTGCCCTCCCTGACATTATGACATTGAGTGCTTTTCAATTCATATGGACATGGCATTTTGGATTTTTATAATTCTCATTCTTCTTTTGTTTATCTCCTTTTCCCCCTTCTTGGTCTACTCTTTCTTCCTTTTTTTTTTTTTGGGGCCTGGCCCTAGTCTTTTCTCAAATATATACGATTAAAGAATCTGGCAGAATGAATTTATATAATTTTTTTCATAAAAAGAAGATTTTTATGTAGTTTTTAACAAAAGGAAGAATTTTATTAGATTTCTATGTAGTTAGTTTTACACTTTTCTTTGATTTTGCTTTCATAAGGTAGAAATTTGAGTCGATCAGATGAAAAATTTTATTTAAATTTAATTTATATGACTTTGGATGAAGTAATAATCGGGGACTCACTCAAATTAAAGGTGGTGGAGCAGGTTGCTTGAATCTGTCATATTCACCTGACCGAAGCCAAGCCGTGGTCTCTTCTTCTTAAAAATTAATTGGTTATATTTGTATAGAAATATCTAAATAATTAATAATGCTATACAATGAATATAGGATAAACTTACGCATTTAGAATAATTACATCTTACATTTGGGAGAGGAATTGTGTGTGATTTATATATTATTTTATTTATTATTTAATTTTATATTACCTTTAAGCCGTTATATTAGATACATTCAGTATTATATATATATATATATATATATATATATATATAGGGGATTTCTTTTTAGGCCTCGATATAAATAAAAGGGATTTAATTTAGGTCGACTATATTTACACGTAAGAGATCTAAGCAGAGTTTGTGTTAACGATTTTTTGACGACTTCTGACTATAGAGCATATAATTTGTGCATTATCTTTGTTTTTTAATATAATATCCAGTGGACTAATTTGACAAAAAAATAAAAAAGTTACTATAAATTACTTTAGACTATTTATATTTATTATTTTTTAAATTAATTTGTTTTACTTATAAATTGATATATAATCTAATTATTCACATAAATATTTTGAAGAAATAATGTATTATATGCTATAATTAAATAATTTAATAACTTTCTTAATCCTCTAAATTAGTCCATAGTACATAATTAAAATTACTACTTTGATCCTTATTAAAAAAAAAACTCTCTCTGGTTTAAAATATAAGCTAATTTTATATATTTATGTTTATTAATAAATTAGTTAAAATCAGTTTAAAACAATAAATATGTAATGTATGTTTTTTTCAAATACGTCCTTATTAATGAAAAGAATAAATAAAAGATATAATAATGAATCAAAGAAGAAAGAGAACATATGGGGTAAAATTGAAAAAAAAAACTCATTAAATACTTAGACAAAAATAAATGTTATCTTATAAAAAAACCAAACCCATTCAATAAAAAATTAACTTATATTTTAAATCGGAGGGGTACTGTTTTGATTTAAAAAAGGAAATAATCAAATCACAAATTCCAATGAACTGAGAACTTGGTTGATTATTAATTAAGATCAACAAGATCCACAAGTTGCCATTGAAAGAAAATGTTGGGGTCTGAGCAAGAGGCACGTTCATATGATAGAACGGACAAAGAGGGAAAAGGGAAAAAAGCAATAAGAGGGATTAAATTAAAAGCCTTTCCTAATTAATCTTATGCACCGCAATAAATAAAGACAAACTACTCTGAAAATACGCGTCTAAATGTGTCGTGAAGTAGCAGGATACAATTTACTGCATATAAAATGCTTCATAGTAATGGAGTGATAATTATTAATTAATATGCAAGATAAATACTGTAAAATACGAGTAATAAAAAAGGAATCAATATATATATATATATATATTAGTATAATGGTTTCCTGAACAGATGAGTCACGATGAGTATTGGCAACCTGGTTCTACCGTTTTATATGTTACTAGTCAACAGAATTTCACTCTCAAGCCCATCCTAATTTCCGTGTTTCAATTACCTGCTACTACTTGGTTATTAACACGCACGCACGCACGCACGCACGCACTTATCTTACGGTGTAAAATAAACGATAGCTATATATTAAATAATTAAAAGCTTGATACCTATAGTTTCCAATCAGATGAAACAGCTGGAATAAGTTCCAATATTTTTATTTTGAATTTGTGAAATTAAGATCGGGAGAAAAATGCAAAAAAATCCCACTGAAAATTTTATCGGTGAGAATTATCTAATTCAAAATACTCGTATTGTATAAAATTTGTAAAACACTAATTTTTCTGTATATATAACATTATCGTGTCATTTTTACTAATAGAATTTTCAACCAGAGATTTTTCTCAATTTTTTTATTAGAAGAAAATGGGGAAAAAGTTCCCAATTGAAAATTTTTTATTTGAAGATATCAGTATAAAAATAAACTTCTACTTTTCACAATTATTACTATATTTAAAAGTTTCCCTTCGCAGTATTCTCTATTACTTGTTATCTTAAGAGTTTACAATTTAAATAATTTTAAATGTAATTCTTTTAATCATAATTCTTTCATATGTATGATATATACACATAATTTTATTTGAATAAGGTTAATTAATATCCGCTGCATTAATAATATAAATTAAATTTAACATAAGCTACAACATGAATGAAACGTTCACAAATTTAAAATATAATTTTCTCTTAAATTAGTGATTTATTCTGAAGGTGTTTGGTGGAAAAGATGTCTCATTGGACCAGTCTGGCTGGTGACTCAACGTAATTATTGATACTAGCCATTATCATGTTCATCGTTGCACGTAGCCCTGAAATATTTTGTCGAAAATGAGAACAATTTTTTTAAGATAAATGTGGACCTGTACATTTAGGCTAATATAGAGTTTCTTATAATTGAAGTAAATGGGGGCTACAATGATGTGATATGCCATTTTTGCGACGAAATTAATCAGATTATGTGATGGAAAATATTATTGATCATAGTGTTTTACGTTTTTCTTTGGATCAGAATACGCGTTACGTTTCTGCGAAAACAAAGCATTTCTGACATGTCAACCATCCCATTGTTGGTCTCAATTAAGTTCATTCATTCGACTGGAAAAAAAAAATTAATATTACTAAGTTTTCCATGATTGTCCTTTTTTGTACTGAAAATTAAATTAATTTATTAATTGAACTCGTAGCTGGCTATTTCAATCATGGATATAAAAGAGGTAATACATGCATGATTGTCTACAGTGAGGTTATTCTGTCAGGGTTGCTTTATACTTTCTTCATAAAATGAGTCTTATATTTATAATCAGAGGGGTATATAAATATATATTATGAGTACAAGTATTTTGTGTTATAAATTTTTTTAATATAAGTATATATAAATATCCTCTCATTGAAAATAATACTACTCGAAACACTGTTGGGTATTATATGGGCACCTCTTCCACATGAAATTTAGACTTTTTGCCACGTTTTCATTTCTATTATTAGATCCAACCCTGTTGATACTTTGTGATATAACTTGTAGAATACTACCCCTGATCCTTATTATAAGACCTCATTTGACTTTTTGTTTAGTCATAATTATAAGACCCCAATCCATTTTGTCTCTTATATTTATACATTTTTTTCCAAAATAATCCTTCTAATAATGATAGTTCTAGCCAATACACTTAATTAGCAAGGATATTTTAGGAATGACAACACTTATTTATTACAAATAACTAACTTAACTTACTTTTTTAATCTTCTCAAATAAGTCAACTGGGTCTTATAATTAGGACCGGAAGTAGTATATAATATTTCTGCCTAATTATTTGATATGGTAGGCGTGATATTTCGAGTTCTTCTCTATTAATTGCTCGATTTGCGGTATAATTAATTGTTCAACATTTTTAGCTGTTTATTTAGTGCTAGGAGTTGCGTACGTACCCCTTATCTTCTTTGCAATCAGAAAATCACAAGACAAATCTACCCGCGTACCTCTACGCTCTCCAAACACATCACGTTCATCAAAATAATATCAATAACAGAACAATAGTACTTTAATTATCATTCTATCATGTATCCATATTATATAATGATAGAACATTAATGCTTATAATTAAATCTGTTTATGCACATATATTTTTTTCAAAGAATTGAGGAAAATAAAAAATCCTAACAATTGAAAAATTGCGTATAGAAACTCATTTACAAAAACTGTTACATTTACTTATCAATTATTATCAAAATCAATAGTAATATTGTAAGGGGTCTCTATTTGCAATTTTTCTATTTTTAATAAGCTTTTTTGCGTGGGGGAGCTAGTAATCTATAAATACTGTAGATGCACAAAATATTTACACACATATCATCCAATCAAATTTGAGAAAATACTAATTTCTTATATTTTAAGATCAGTGAAATATGATATACAATAAGTAATAGTATCTCAATTACATCAGAGTACATAAACTAGCTCTCTCTGAACAAAAATCATTTTTTCTAATGATGCCTAAATTATACATATAATTATATGTATATCGTTATTGAGTCGAAGGCATTAAACACTATTTTTTATCCTAATTATAAGACCTCGTTTAAACGACGTCTTGTAACTAGGACCGGAGGTAGTATATTAAAGTGATATATAAATTAATTGACCAGTATTTAAGGAATTATATATATATAGCATATGTATGTTTTATTTTCCCCTTAGGAGGCTTTGTCAGATAGTGAATTAGGGTATAAGTGAAACTAAGAGGGGGAAGCTTCGCAGCACTGAGGTTTCCGGCGCCGACCATGGCATCAAAAACCTTAATCAACGTCTGTGTTGTTAACGATGGTGGTGGTTAAGGGGACGCACGAGGCTAAGTCGTCCCATTTACAAGATTCCCAATATTATATATATAATGCCCTTTGATTTAATTAATTAAACACTAAAGAGAAGGGTTTTGATGAGGTCT